AAAATTTTTATAAACGTCAAAATTCAAAAAAAAAAAAAAAAAAAAAAAAAAAAAAACAAACACAAAATGAGAACAAAATATACATTTTACCAAGATATGCAGTTTCAAGTCCAAAACTAGTACTTAGTGGCATAGCCACGTTACCTAATAATAGCTGCCTTATGCTGGCCCAAGCATGAAACACTGAATCTAACAGAGTTTGTCTGCTGGTTGGACGGGCATTTGTCAAAAGTTTTGACATATCATTCCACACATTTTCTATTATGTTTGCATCCGGACTCTGGGCAGGCCACATCACCCTGCGAATGCCCTGTTGGTCAAACCAATCATCAACTGCTCTGGATCTGTGACAAGGAGCATTGTCATCCTGGTGAATAAACGGATAATTCCTGTCACCAAACATGTTAGTAATAGATGGTAGCAAGCCTGACTCCAAAACATCGATATATTTCTGGTGATTCATGTTTCCATCAACCATTACCAATTCACCCACGCCATGGATGCTGATGCAGCCCCACACCATGATGAATATGCTGCTCCGGGTTCGAAAATTCAGTACATGTGGTTCAAATGCTATACCAGCAGTTCGCCAGCATCGGACACGTCTGTCATCAGAGGTCAGACCAAATCGACACTCATAAAAAAACTATATATGACCAATTGTCATGGACTGTCCAGTTCCAGATCCTGTTGGCCTTAGTTCACTCTACGTTGCCTGTTTTGTAACGATATAAGAGGTTTCCGTCTCGCTACCCTGCTGTACACTCTCAAGCATGTAACCGATGCCTAGCAGTTTTCACAGACAGATTCTTATGTGTGAAATTGTTCCACAGTGTTGTCAACTGACAAGCAATGTCGAACCTTGACAACCTGGACATCAAAATCAGTCGTTGGTCTTCACGGTCGATAGTTTTTCCTGGACCACCCATCAGAGGCGATTTGTCTCTTGTGTTTCTATACCGAGACCTGGCCCTCTGCACGGTTCTGACTGAACAATTCAACTGTATTGATATTTTGACATTGCTTATATTCCGCCTCTTCAGGTTAATAACTTGACCTCTATAATCATTAGATAATTGACTGTATCTTGCCATATTGTAGGAAGACAGGAATAACATTTGCTGTACATGTACAAGACCAACAATACAATTCCATGGTACAGCGGTTTTATACTCATTAGTCAAATTATAAGTAGATCAGGCATTATAACTACCCAAGATCTGCCTACTTTGATTACTCTGATTTAGGGGGTGACACTTCTATTGTCCAGTGTGTGTAGGGCCTATATCTGTGAATGCCACACTCGGTTCAAATGTACCACGACATTCCCACGTGCATCTACTCTGATCAGGAAAATCAAAACTTTTTCAACTAAATCTTAATTTTAAAACTAGTTTATATATTTGTTTCATTAAAGCTATCCTTATTTATGTGAAAAAAATACATGGCAGTGTTAGGCCACCATAAATGTCCAGTGAAAAAACAATCTGTGGCCCTGGCAGAGGATAAATGGAAACAATCCTTTAAAGAATTCCCGCACAAAAAGCAAAAGGTGACCTTATCGAGTCAATAAGAATGTGCGCATGCCTATTCCTCACTGTAAACCTAATTTATTCTGATCAGTCTAGATGCAAACGGAATATAGGCCAAGAAGAAAAATGGAGGGTCTGCCACGTCAATTCATGCCAATTTTATTTCAATTGTTTGGCCTAGTTTTTCTTTGTGGTAAGTCAGCACCCATATATATTATCTGTAACTTAATGTATGGAGTATTTCAGTTCAAACCTTTTCATTTGTCTTTGAATTCAAGTATTTTCATATAAATTAGTGACAGTTGACGCCTACAGTCAGTGTGCGCATGTCCTACTCTATATACACTATGCGTGAACACTCAATATTTTATTTGATACAAAATTAGAAAAATCCGAGATGAATATGAAAAGTAAGTTATTTCGACTTGTGCATCATCTTCTGTTGGTTGTTATTTTGTGCTAAATTTCCTTTCGTAAGTATTCTACTTCACAAAATTGCCATTATTTTTTACTTCCGGTTTCGTGTTCCATTGAAATTCTTAGTCATAGCAAGGAGGTTAAAGAGAGAAAATTCCTTGGTTGCATAAAGCACTTTTAATTCGTCGTCATAGGCATTTTGCCTATATAAACCCTATTGGCCAAGTGAATGGCTTTTCAACCGTTATTAAGAGCAAAGAAATACGTGCCTGCACTTGGAATAAATTTCAAATGCCTTTTATTATTTATTTATATTTTGTTTTTATTTTATTTCACTATTATTATTGTTATTTTTCCAAGTTGCGCTACATGCATTTAAAGTTGATGTTTTAACCATTCATCAAAAAGTACAGTGTTTTTGAACATTTCGTCCTAGCCATGTTCAGTATTATAAACATCTTGTAACCACCAAACCCTAAAATCGCTATACAATGGACAGTCTAATAAAAAGTGCTCTTAACACTCCTCTACTCTCAATTTAAAGCTTGAACAAATCATCTTATCCTAGACTTGCCACAATATCCCTCTTCAACAATTTCAAGTTGATTCTGCAAATCAAAAATGCATTAAACTTATAAATAGTGAGCTTTATCAAATAGCCTACTGTTATGTAAGAGACCTTGCTTAAAGTAAGCCTTGATGACTAAGACTGGGTTCCCGTGTCTAGATTGATCCATCTGGAGCGGTCTAACTCCCTGGGGAGTCTCATTAAATTGCAATCAACTAAACCGACTTAAATGTCTGTCATGTCTACCGAATCAGCTAGGGTAAAGATAATTACCCCCTTACAGCTTTACGAGCGTGACAGACATTTAAGCCGTTTGGTTGATAGCAATTTATTGAGACTATCGAGTAAGACCGCTCTAGATGGATCGATCTAGGCATGGGAACCCAGCACAACAAAGAAACAGTTTCTCTGAAATGTTGCTAATCTTCTCATCAATGCCAGGCCACACCTAACTCAAATTCGTTGAGATATTAGATATTGAATGATATAGGTTTTCAATATTATTTTTTGAAAAAAAAACCTGCCTTCTTTTTTCAGTCTTGCTACATGTATAAAAGTTTTTTCCGGGAATTATGGAATACTGCAATTTGCACGTTATTTACTGCTTAACCCTTACTTGTATACAGGCCAATTTCGCTTAAAATCACAAAATGAACGCATTACAACAAATTTTCAATATGTTTTATCGGGGCTGATATCGCCAAGACTCCCTATAAATAACTGTATATATGACTGAGACCTCATATAAGTGAAAATGAATGAAAATTAACTAAACTAACTTTGCGTCTGTATTTTGTCCTTTGGCATTGTTTTTTGTCTTTAATACTTAGTTATGTCTTCTTCGTTATGAAAAGCACCGAAAGGTTTTACATTTATATTGACTTATTTTAGCATATTTATATTACTTATTGACACTGAAGTAAATGAACACAAATCTATTCTGATTTTTAAAGGGTTAGTTGGAGGTGACCAATTCAGATGTGCTCTATTTAGTCCGCAACTATATTGCCCACCGGCCGACCAACCACTGTACACACACTGCTGTTCGGGTGGCTGCTGCATGGGCCGCGGAGAACACACATGTGACGGTATGCAATAATATTCAACACGCAAAGAAGAAAAATAAAAAGGACAAAAAAGCATTAGATTTAATACGAATGAAACAGTGTACACTTTACGACTTTCAGCTGGGCCTTACGACCAAGTAACAGGGGTCTATATCATCCTGAGGTTCTCCCATGGAGACATAAGAAACGTGATGTAAATTTAAGTCAGAAACATTTTTATACAGGTAAAAAAAACGCAACTTGCTTCATTTACTACTATACCGCTCACCCTAAAAGACTGTCAAATTTACATGTGTAAATTATTAAAGGAATTTTGGTGTTTACCTCAAATTCAAATAGCGAAAATATGTGGTTTTTTCAGACAGCGGAGATGCGGGACGATATTGCCCACAACCTAACGACTCTGCCGATAAAACAGTTTGTTGCACTGTCACAGTAAATGGTATTTCCCAGCCAGGGTGTTGTTCGCTTTTCCTTGGACTGGCGTAAGTAAACATATATGTACCAGTGCCCCTCGTATGTGTGCATTTTATTAACATTTTTATCAACATGGTAAAAATAAATGCAACGCAACATGACATATCATACAGGCCTTCTTTCGCTTTGCACAATCCTTTACGTTTCACAAGAAAGAACGACATTCGTAGAAGGTTGACGACGTCAGAAGATAATGATAAGATATCTGAAGATAGTGGGCCTTAAACCTTGGCCCCCGAAGTGGGGACTCAAACAGCTGCTGTTCCATTATTTTGACGAGTACAAACGATTACAATATCAAGCATACATATCATGATATCACTTATCATTGTGTGCATCAAACAACATTTTATTTTTGTGTATCAGTAAACATACCATGGACATCATGTAAACAATATCACGAAGCTACCACGTTGGCATAGACTTGTACAAAAGCTGAAGGCGTTAGTTGTGCCAGCGTCTGCATGACCAATGGATTCATGTTAATTCATCGTATAGATCTTGATGAAAATAGAAGTATATATATTGATGCACCTTTGAATGTACAACTGTAAATAAATGTACAATTATTAGATAATCCCCGAAGAAGGCCCAGGGGCCGAAAGCTAGGATTGTATCTTACAACTGTAATGTAGATCTTCAAAGGTGCAGCAATATATATATATATATATATATATATATATATATATATATATATATATATATATATACACTTCTATCATGACCATGGAAACGCCTACTGTTCTAATAAAATTTTCTATCTCTCTTTTTTAGTACCTGGGCTATAGTTCTGATTGTTGTTGGCGTCGTGGTCCTTATTGCCCTGTGTGTGACTTGCTGCTGTTGCTGCTGCGGCGTCTGTGCCAGATCGGGAGGCGATAAAACCGTTCTCATAACTGGGAATTCTCGTATATACACTTAGAATTGAAAACACTGAGATGACATTTTTAATTTTTCTACCAGATGGAGTTAAAGGGCGGTTTGAAAATAAGAACTGAAAAAGAACCTTTCAAGAAAATTTCCAGTTAAAGTTTTTTAAATATAAAATTGTTATGTAAATTACCCTTTAATGTCTTAACTATGATTTTTACATCTTGTCTTATGTTTTGCTTTAACACTAAAGTATTCTGAGGTTTAAGGATTTTAAAATTTTATAATATAAATTATTAATATCATTAAAGGAGGCTGTGGAGATATCAATATTCCGAAGCAAGTAAGTATTGGTAAAAAGCAATACTTACGAATTGTATCCGTTAAATTTGAAACTTTGAAGATTCAACGCATAAGGGACAATTCAACAAACTATCTCTAACTGTCGTTATCGGTCTTTCAAATGACCGAATCAACTTTGGTCGACTGGATTAAGATGGAATTAGTTAAACCTAGAAGGGTTGAATATGCAATTAGCTGGAGTTGGCCATTCCGAATAACCACTAGTCTGGGTTGAGACTTTTATATCAGTTTTTACGAATTGATTATTGCCGCAGAGTAATGTGTCAAAAAGGCGTTCCTCGTGTGTGCAGTCGTTTTAGACATTTTTTTCATATTTAATCTAATTATAATTGTACAGAAGAAATGTCATTTAAGCCCAGCCAATAATGCGATATTCACTGTAATCTACATTAGGGCTTATACTTGATTGTTAGTAAAGAGCACCGTTTTATACAAATAAATGTAAATAAACCTTACTGACTTTGATAAATTTAGTCGTTAATTGTTATGTACAATGCCCGTGAACTTAATACATGTCGTTATGCAATACGTATGTTAAATCGCTAGTAGGGGGCTAATTATGTGGATTTATTCCTTCTAGCCTAAATTTTTAGACCAAATTTTTGTGCACTTTGACGCAAGAAGAATCGTTAGTAGTGTAATATAATTAAATATTGCGCCTGATTGTCATAAGAGAGACATGCCAAATTTTTCAGACCATTACTTTATTCCATTTATGCGAAGTTGACTGCTATGATTGAAGTATATCTGGGTCAATGCTAGATCCATGAAATTGATAACTTTATAAAGGCGTTGAAAATCACTCCTCCTCCTCAAAAAAAATAAAAATAAAAATAAAAATAAAAAAAATCGACGAATTTTAAAATAATCTTTGTAAAGGAGAAACGTTTTTCCTACAATTTCCCGTGATTAGGTCTATTTCACAAGTGCAACACTGGTGGATCCAGGGCTACTCTCAGTAGGCCTACCCCCCTCCCCTCCTACACCCACCCCAATGATTAACCTCCAGTAGGCCTACTGACTGTAGGTCCACTGCGTGGTGACAGGTTCGATGATTGTATTCAACAGTCGGTCATTAAATCAAGATCAATCAACAGTCTGAATGAAATCGGATGTCAATCTGATAATAGATTAATTCAGATAAACTTTGGAAAAGTGTACGTAAAGTTATCAGAATTGTGTGCTTTCGTCCAGTGGCACAACGTCATCTGTGACGCACTAAGATTGATGATCGATGACATTTCGAAATACATATGAATCTCCCCCCCCCCCCCCCCCCCCCCGAGTAGTCTGTGACAAAAGACCTTTTGATCACCATCGGTGCTTTTGTAGGCCCCTATATGGTTTGTTGATTCCTCATAACATTTGGCCCTATGTAATAACGGTAGACCTATTTGTTTTCCACTTTTTATTTGATTAGCCTTATACATCCCCTCTCTGAGACTTAGTTGATTTTATTACATAGGCTACCTAGGAATCAGTATGCATTTCCTCTCTGTAGTTTGGACAACTGCAACTGATATAAAATATAAACTTCAAAACCAAAAAACTGAAAATGCATGATTTGTTCGTCATTGGGTAATAGGCCTACTAAACCAACCCCCTTCTTATCTGTCACTAGGGCCTATTTAGTCCTTAGAAATCAATCAGATAATGACATTCTCTAGTTTTAATTCATGGTTAGTCCCCCGCTTAATTGGAGTTTTCTGGTAATGTGACAAAACGCTCAGGCCAATGCAAATTCATAGTTTTTTAAATAAGTTTTTTTAATAATTCTCCCTTTTCTTTCCATTTGTTCTTTAATTTTTTTTAAATCAGACACAATGTATAGGCCTAATTGCTAATCCTGGATAGCAATGCAGGGTGCCACGTAGGTTGTAGGCCTAGGTCTAAATCATGTAGAAGAGGAAGAAATTGGAGACGAAAGGACGCAGGCCGCTGCCATCAATTTTCATGTGATTAAAATTACATCTTTCTTTTAGGTTATTTTAGTGCCTGCATGTAGTGTATCATATCAACAAATTAGGCCTACACCTGAACACTACCCTCTACCAGGGCGACAGATTGATTTTTCACAGATAGGGCCTATGTCCCTAGATAAATAGACAGTCATTTTGGTCTGATGCCCCAGCAAAAAAATTTCCACAATAATAACTGCGGCCCTGGTAGAGGGTACTTGAACACCATCTATCACACTATCCATCACAATTTTAAGGCGGTTTAATAAATGAAGAATAAATAGGCCTATATATCAGTTCTCGTAAGTAGTTGTTCGAAGGCCTTCGAGATACTGTTGCTCCATAATATTGTGAGTTGAAATATACTGTAGCACGGTCAACGAACTTGTCCAGTGTGCATGTTATTACTTCAACCGGTGTTGGGCGTACAGGTGTACATGCGCCTTATGCGCGACCCAGTTAGCGTGAGTCTCTTCCAAAGTAAACGAGACCTCCGCGAGATTTCATAATCCTGAGAGGCCAAGGTCATTCGTTACAGTCAGTGCAGACGCAACTTTATGTGTGTTTTGCACCACGTGAACGATTCTCACAGATTCACTTTTAATACTGTTTTGAAAGCTTTCATGAAAAACCTTCGCCACATTCAGACTTGGAAGCAAAGCACTGGCCCTTAACATACATTTCATAATAGGTGAGTCGTACCGAAGGATCATCTGTACCCCAGGGCCCTACTAGTACTACAGTACGTAACGTACATGTGCAGTGTACAGTGCTAGCCAGTAGGATGTACATGTTGTTTGTAACAATAACAATGTAATGACGTTAGTACGTTCGGGAACTATTATTACATGTATGTTCTGTATGTTCTGCTTGCTTGTGTAATGCTGAGGTATTAAATTTTATACTGTACTTAATTGATTTATCCATATCCTCGAGATTGGTTAAAGAATTTAGTGGGGATATTTAATAAAAGTAATCCAGGGGGCACATGTAAAAATATGTATTTTACGTTTCTCTTTCTAATAGCTTGTTATATAATACTCAGCCTGTCACTTGCTTGTCATAATAAGTTTAGTAACTCCTTACTTTAACTCTGAATCATGCTTGGCTGTTCTTAACTTAACCAGTACATTGTACCCCAGTACTTTACATACTTTACATCCATCTTAGTTTAGTCACATATGTACATGTATTTGTCTGTATGTATTATTTTTGTACATGTACAAACTTAAATTTGGTTTAATTTATCCCCCTGTCACGGCTTATTTTTCAACCCCACAACTTCTAGTTTCGTATAGTTTGTGCTTAGGTCAATATCATGTATATATCTGTATTTTATATTTCAATTTCCATACTATTCAATGGTATAGGTAACCATTGTACACTGCTGTCTAGTTAATTTTTATTTACTTTCTTAATATTATAACTTCTCAGTACTTGTACCTGGTATCTCACAATCTAACTCTACTTAAAGCTAAACTTCATATGCATTTGAAAATTTTCCAAAGTACTCTCTTTGTCCACATAACTTGCAAAGCTACTTGTACCTTTCCCTATTCAGACTTAAAAAAAAACTTAAAAATAATAGTACCTAATGTCAGTAATGTCAATAATTAAAAAATGTCAGTATTTCGTTACTCACTTACCTCCCCTTCCTATAGTCTTCAGAGGTTTTCTGACAGATTTTTTAAAATCATAATTGTTACCTACAAATGTGTGTATTGAGTATTAGCCTATATTATTTTTTGTACTGTTTTAGTTTTCATTTTAATCCAGGTTTACAAGCAGAGCAGCAAATATGTGGCCTGTTATTTGGGCTGCGGTACGCACCTATGCTCCATACGTGATGATGCCTGTTGCCATTACTATTGGATTTATTGGATACAATGCTGAAACACTGATTCGAGGGACAAAAATGCAAGACTGGAAAAAGAAAAGTATCAGTGAAGAAAGAGAAGAAAGGCAACTGGCGGAAGCAGAAAAAAAGGCTTCTAAGATTGTCTCCCTACATGATCCTAGTGCTGGCATTATGCCAAAAACAGTTTTAGATAAAAACAAAGCCCGTTCTGAGGTTGGAGGGTCTTTACAGAAATCTTCATGATGGCACAATGATAAATATAAGTACATTTAAAAGAATTATCTGTTACAAAATTTGACATAATTTTTCTGAAGGATGTCATCAGAAACATTGGAATTATTTTCCAACACAAGACTTGTTACAATATTCTGCATTCTGTTTGAAATTTTTTCAGAAGGATGTCATCATGAACACTTGGATTATTTTCCAACATTAGACTTGTTACAATATTCTGCGAGAAATATTTTAATTCCACACTGATGATGTCATTGACTGTTCTTTGTACATATTGATTCCATGAAAACCATGAGACATCACTGTACAAGTATGTAGTAAATTCAGCAAATACTAATAAATAAAAAGTTATGTAGACAACATTTTTATGATAAAGATTGTTTGGCTGGTGTCGGAAGTAAGCATTTATGTAGAAAAATTAATTTAAGAGAAGTTACATTAGTTGGGTCACCATGAAATATAAATGTGGACAGTTATAATAAGATGAACAAAATGTTATTATTGAAACAGCTGTTAAAATAAAATATGCAAAATATTTATTGTAATTTCTTTAACAATTTTTTATAAAATTGGTTTTTATATGTTGAAAGATGTCTTTATTTCTAATATTTCTTTCAACTAGAGGATCAGAGAGGCAATACCTCCTCCAGGTTTTGTACCACCAGCTGGAGTAAGCGCATTCGTATGGAAAACAAGCTCTACAAAATGCAGTGAACAAGAGTTCTCAATTTTTTTTTGTAGGAAATAACATTTTATTACAAAATCATGGGGAAAAGTAAAAGGTCAAATGCAAGGTTGCACTAAGATTGTGAATATAGGACTTCCCATCCAAGAGATTTTCAATTTTGACATTTAATGGCTGCTTCTCCCGTAATAATGCACCGATTGACCCTAAAGTTACGAAGATGAAAGATGAAAGATGACCCTAAATGTATGACATACCTATAATATTATAGGTCTAAGTGTAGTTTCTGAAAATTGGCACAAATAATTTTTTTTTATATTATTTTTTTTTTTTATATTATAATTTTTTTTTATATTATAGTAAAGGTCAAAGGTCATATCCAAGAGCATATTTAAGATCTCCACGTGTCTTTTGGTCAGCCACTTTATTAATTTTTTTCCAAAGTTACTTCCGTTTTGGAGGTATTTAGCATTTAATTTTGCAAATTCCGGACAAGGGCGCATTGTCACAACCGCCACACCTAGACCGGTGAACCGGCAAAGCCCAAAATTTACGTGGATAGAGTTGGCATTATATATGACCTAAATCCCAAGAGATGAGTAGCCTACGGAGGGTCTTGGGGGAGAAGCAGTAACGGTGACATGGCGGACGAGACGGATCGGACCAATACCATGAGTATCGCCAGCGCCGCGATACACATGGTATATTCCTCCCATCCTTAATTTACAGTAGCAGTTCTGGTCTTGGTGCAAGTGTCTAAGGACGACTTTTTTTTATTTACTTATATATTTTAAAATATATTTTATTTATTTTTATTTTTGCAAGTTTAGCACGTGCCTCGAATTAGAGCAGGACGGGCAAAAACTAGTGATGGTAACTACTGTTTCTTTTTGAAGTTCAGATATCGGCCGTTGCTTTATTATTATTATTATTTCATTATTATTTTGATTATCAGCATTGCATCCTTCTCGGTGCAATCGATGTAAATTCTTTTGAAGTGATACAAAGCACTTACGGGAAAATCGTTTTATCTCGAGAACACACATCACTCAATGGGTTTAGAACATTTGACAAAAACATTTTTGGAAAACAATAGAAGACAGAGAAGTCTGGATGTCTTTCTATCAGTAGAAAATCATTATGCAGAGAATGTGCAGACACGTTAAAAGGTTACCATGATATCAGAAATATATTAACAGTTGCAGTTACACTGTAAGTCCGCTAACTATATCTTGCACAATCCGTGCAGTGGATTCACGTTATGCTCCTTATTTCCCCGGAGATTCGGGGCACTGAAAAACTACACTGTGGATGTGTACCTTGTTTGTTTTAATCGTTAGGTGAGACAAAGTTACAGCCTAGTACAGAGGAAATGATCTTTTGATGCAATGCTTCATACTTTGTTATATTTTCGCTCCTTTAAAAACAAACTCAGCACCGTCGGTTGACACACTCGCTTCATCAGTACGCTAACGCAACAACCGCAATCATTTTCTGCCTAAGAGCTCCTTTCCTCATTCATTTCGCTCCTACAACAGAAGATACTCCTGTGTATGTAGTTGGGTACATATTCCTTCTCAGCTCTACTGAATTTTCACTAATGGCATTCCCCTCGCTGCTGGAAACGATCACCATTGCAAGGTCAGGCCGATGTCAACGTGTGACGTCAAAATTGTCAACTAGGCCAAATATGCCTGCAAAAACACCCATTGTCATGGCGATACAGCATAATCCGTATGAATAATGAAGTTCTTGAAAGTAGTAGTCCGGGAAGTTGACTCCAAATGACACAACGCCAACGACCAGCAATAGATCTGAAACATATGAAAAGAAGTGTTTCGCATTTAGTGTTTTTAAATGAAAAAAGGACTTTTTTGTGAGATTTTTTCATTCCATCCATCGACATCGGTGGTCTGTACTAAGCCCAAACTTTGTTGCCATAGCTGGTGTGGGTGGGCCTACAGAATGAAACCTACGGCAAACCTCTATTGCTACATTGCACACTTATTGCCACTGAAAACTGAAAATTCGGTTATAATTAAACGCGATTTCACATTTATCAAAATGAAAATTTGAGGCCCATTTACGGAAACCGTATTGTAGTACCTAGCTCAGGTTTAATACTGCCATTGAGGCCATTTTAATAGCTGCTCTTGTGTGGGTGAAAATCGGGAAACAGAAAAAAAGAAAGCATTTTACCACAAAATGCTAATACATGTCACATGCTGAACTTTTGGCTTTTGCTCAAACAATGGGGCTTTGGATAAACATAATCAGAGAATGGAAAACATATATATTATCACTTCAGAAAAAAATATGTAATGAAAATACGCTCTTAAGTTTATATCCATAGATTATCAGAATTATACGTAATGAAATTATATATGTAATGAAAATACTCTCTTAAGTTTATATCCATAGATTATCAGAATTATAGTTTTCAAAAAAAAAAAAAAAAAAAAAAAAAAATTTTGAATGTTATACCTAGAGTGATAAACCTGTTAATTTTTAAACCTAACACATCTAGTGTTTTAATATTAAAATGAAACGCCAACGCAGCGTTTGGTTGTGTAGCCTATGTTATCTTAAACGCTGTTTTCGAAGCTCTACGAATCCAGCCCCTGAACACCTAAAGCAATAATCAAAGTTTAAAACCACCTTGTAATAAGCTCCAGGGATAAACAGTTTACATGGATTTTTAAGCTTCCCTGAATATATTTGAGTCATTTAAACACATTTTCGTCGTTTCAAATTGCCATAAAGTTTATTTCAACAGCATGAATAAACAGCGTCACTCTCAGCTCAAACACACCCTTGATGCGAGCTGGTGTTCTGTGTTGATATTAAAAAGTACTCGAATGTCTCTCAATCGAACCATGCAAAACTTATTTAATCTATTACGTTTTATTGTACAGAATTTTAATCAGAAACTGTACATAACATGCCTTCTTACCTCCAGCAAAACACAAGGATATCCACAATGCTTTCGACATTTTATTTTTGAAAGCTTCCACAAACATGCGCAGAATAAGAATCAGTAGGGAAATGACCATGGCGGCTGACCCGAGTGCCACTGTCCACTGCGTTGCCCAAAAATAACCTGGAATAGTGCGGATATTAAGCTTTTTTAATAGCCCTAATTGCTCATAAGCTTGTTTCCATTAAGACCCAGACCGGTTTGTGTCTAAATTTCTCCAATATTTGGTGTTGATTGGACCAAGTGCAGTAAAACTGCTTGTCAGAAGCACTAGGAGTAAAGGTTGAATACCTCTCGTTTAAACCTGCCAAAACTTGCCTTTACGTTACGGTGTCGACAAGGTTATGTATCTGAAACGTATAGAATTAAGTGCAAAGTCACAAAAAAGATATCACTTGCTTGCAAATCATCAATCATCCTTTCTTCTGAATGATGCCCTTTAAATGGAATTAAACGTAATTACCATTCAGTATCCACATACCCCCCCCCCACCCCAAGGATCTTCACGAATAAAAAAGTGTAATATTTGATGCATTTTGATTGAAGAATCTAATTTGTGGCATTTTCGCGAAAGGTTAGATTGAAAACGTGAACTGCCCTTTAGTAAATAGAATCCTTCCGAGAACATAAAAAAACTAGAAATGGTTTGACATTTTAGGTTGCTCATCTCGGTTAAGTTAGGAATATCATACCGTGTGTTTTGACAGACAAATTCCGGCTAAATTTTGTGAAGATTTAGTGTAGACCCATTCGCAGTAGACAGTGCATTTCATGCAAACTTGGGACATTGAAAGGAAATAACACATTATTCACCCTTCAACCCCACCCTATCCTATCCCATCCCACTCCACCCACCCCACCCCATCTATATCATGTGTATTCAAATTGTTGGCAAATGCTCGTCTGCAGTCTGCAGTGAAAATTCGATCTGAAAAATGCACGAAAAAGGATGAAATTGTGGGTTAACGAGCTCTACTGAAAGGGAAATCCGTAGTAAGATGATATAGGCGAACACGGTAAAATAAAGCTAATGTTACAATTTCCACAAATTTGCACTGTTTTCGAGCATAGAAAGATAGGATAAAAAGATCATCAGCCAACAGCAGAAACGCAATTAGAATGAGCTTGGGAGGATTATTTAACACACATTTGAAGAGTTCTTTCAATTATAACAAACGAAATACATGCAATGAGCAATATGCACCACGTCATTACGTCAAGTTGAAATGTTGGACTTCCACTTCCAAGTACATTAATTACATTCATTCGGCTAGTGTTTATAAAACAAAAATAGATCCGTCTTCCACTTTAGTCTCCATGAAGCAGAATGCACAGGGTAATTATTTGCCAATTCGGCCTGGAGAAACAATCCCTCTATCTTCCTACAAATATCTTACGTGCTTCTATATATTAAACCGATTTATGGTTTGTTTTGCGCATAATCATAAAAACAGATTCAGAATGCTTTGTTTATCAATCGACAAAACAGAGGGCGTGTGGTGCAAAGAGGAATTTTTTCCATATAGTCTCTCATAGTAAAGGTAACTTCTCGCGAAATGTATATATGTATGAATAATGTAAAACAGTCGAATAGTAGTTCGATCATTTAGAGTCCATTTCGATATTCTAATGAGGTGAAATAATTTCATGGCTCTATGCATACATTATACCAAACGCATGCGCTAGGGTCCATGTTTTACTGTTGTTTTAATGGGCCATATGTGTGTGTGTGTGTGTGTGTGTGTGTGTGTAATTGTTAAAACTTCAGCCAGGTTCTATGAAATAACGCATTGTCTTCCTGCTTTCAAATTCCTATAACAGGTAAACTAAACCCATGCACTCTTACCTGCCTGGACCTCACTCCAAGGACGGTTACCATTATAAAAACAGTCGCTCTTCGTATTCTTGATTCCAGTGTAGTCGCAATACTCCCAAAGACCTTGCCATCGCTCTATCTTACCCGTAACCTTGCCCCATCCTATTGTAGCCACCGCAATAACATTTAAAAGGTTGCTTAAAACAAGAAATATAAGAGCAGACTTCAGGAGAAACGACATATTGATGGGCGCTCTGCTTAAGCTCTTAATTGAAATCGTGCCGAGGCCAGGTAGCGAAAGCACTTCAGGTAAAACAGTCTCCTCTGTTTCTCTGTTTATTTTGTGAAGTATATTGAAGCCTCCTCGTAAAAGGAACACATCCTTTAACGATCTCCAAATGTCCAATCTCTTAATGCTCTTGCACTCTCGTGTCATGTTCATGGTTCGACCCAATAACTTGAACTTTGATAAACTTGCGTCAAGGTAATATACACTAAGGTATGCAGGCGGTGAAAGTTCCAGAGGGAGAGCATGCCTCTTGACGCTGTGCTGGGACTGTTAACCTGCTTAACTGATGTACTTTGGTGGCTAGCAATTATGTGGATTTCTGGTTTTTTTTAATCCATTAATCTTGGTATCTCCATCATTGGATTAACCATTGGATTAATAGAAATTATAAAAAGTTATCTTTGCCAGATTAATTAAACTGGCACCAAAAAGAGAACGTTTCATTAACTATTGGCCCTATCGCTTTCCAACAGAAACATCTGGCGCGAGTTTCTGGTCTATCACTTCACTCTACTTGGCTACGCCTTTTAATGCCTCATTACATTAAAAAGACGGAAATATGTGCTAGGTTTATCGAGCAAATGGTAGAGTTTAAAATCTGAAGGAGGTGTGCTTGGGACTAATCCAGTAAATAATACTGACCCAAAAACGTAAAAAGTAGGACAAGGCTAACCTCAACAATAGAAAGACATTTTTAACTATGATTGAAGCGACTCTTAAAATTTCGAATAATTGTTCGCATTAATTGATTACGTTAAATAGAGAGTTTACAACGTAATGTTTGCTCGAACATCAGATTTTATTCATTCATTATTATTATTATTATTATTATTATTATTATTATTATTATTATTATTATTATTATTATTTTGCCTACATATTTCAAAACCTACGATGTTCTAAATTATTTACAAAATGTTTCAGTTAGAAATAATTGAGTTTTGTGTAGCTTGCTTGTTGTAGTGGAAATAGCAGGAAGAAAATGAAGGTAACTGCTTTAAAATTTTAGACCTCCATGAAGAACATATATACAGAAATAAGTTATTGATTTAAAAGATCTCGTGTCTTCATTCACCAAAAATTAATACTAGTTCAGGTACACTGTAATTTCATGCATAATCTTTTATCAGCCTATCAATTTATTCTCCGAATTCGGTTGATGCAGTTACATAATGGCCGTATGCCATAAAAGTATAATACATTTTGTCTATTTGGATTTCCAAAACTGGAGTTTGCTCTTCATGGTCCTCTTAGACTGGGAAGGTTTAATTTCTTCCTTGGCTGGGGGATTTTCCTGTATTTCTGCACATGCGCCATCTGTTGGAAACTTACCGAACCCAGTGTTGCCCTGCAAAGCAATCTGCTCCACGTCATTCCCATCAGCAGAGAAGGTAGAGGTTAAATGGGCATGACCATTACTTGAGTAGGCTAAATCATCTTCGAGACGAGTATACTGAGCAATATTTTGATCGTCTGGAATTGAGCGCCCATCAATTTTCAGCAGGGAGATTAACTGGTTAAGTTCTGCAATTCTCGTCTGCATCAGGGTTTTTCTCTTTTTCTAATTCATACACTTGTAGTTCGAAGGTACTCATCTGAAATTTTAAAAAAAGTAGAAGTAGAAATATAATATTCAAACCGACGGAATGAGTGGCAACTGTTTGGTTCATTAACAAGATGCATCAAAGTAAATTGGGAAAGGTATATACATTGAAGGGCTGTTCTGATTGCCGTAAATATAAAACTAACCTGTTGTTGGAGTTGATACTTTTCCTTTCGGGACAATATGTTGAACTCTTGCTTTTCCAGGAAACTGATTAAACGATCAGGACTTTTCTCTAGATGATAAAAAAAAGGACAAATATTTTTAAAAGTTACAGAATATAAGTAACCTTGTAAGCAGCAAAATTGGCTGAGTGAAAAAATTGACCATTTCTGGTGTAGACTTACTGTTTTGCAGAAAATCATTAAAAAATGCCAAGTTTAAAAGTGGCCATTGAGACAACACAGTGGAAAAAATATAGCAAAGTTTTCAAGAATCCATATCAAGTTTGCTTTCTAATTGAGTAATTAGCATATATTGCATGAAAAAATATTTGCACACCAACAACTAACCTTTCATTTTCTGAAGAACTAAGCTTTGTTCCCGGGTGACTTGATTAAGTTCTTCTAGTGAATTTTTCTGCAGGTTTGCGGTGTTTTTCGCCAATGCAGCCATCTCCTCCTTTATAAGATTAATTCACGATCAGAATAAGAATTGCTTAACTTATAACATATATCGAATACATGTATTTTCAACAATTTTCATGTCTTCTGAAAACCATTTGTCTTTCTCAAGTGCAAGAAGCAGTGATTAAATTATTTAAATCTACATGTAAAAAATATTTTCGTGTCTTACTCGACTATAGAGTAATTATCACCTTTCCCCCTTTTCCTTTTATTCTAAATGAGACCTTTCACCAAGAACATGAACCTACAAGTACAAGAATAGAAAATTACTTTTGCTTTTATCAGTTCCTTGGAGAAGTTATCTAAATCTCGATCTCGCATAGCTAGGGCCAGTGTTAACTCCTTATTCCTCCTCTTTAGATCATCTCTCTCCCGAGCCTCCGCTATTTCTTTTTTGTCTTTTTCTATTAGTATTTCATTTAACGCGGCAATGGTCATCTCCTGTTGGGCTGTTTTTTCACTCTTAAGACTTAATTCTTTAGTCAGACGTTCTGTAAAAAGAACAGATCTCACTAGTTGTGGGCTTTTCATTTCCCAGGTATATAGTTTGTATCAACGTATTTCTTTAAGTAGTATGTATGAATATAAATTTTATCAAAAAACTGTGCACCTACTCTTTAAACAAACATTAACTTAACTGTCCAATTGAATTGAAAATCAGTAAAAGTGGCCAACCATACCGAGTTCTACTTCTAGGTCTACAACTTTTGCCAATGCAACCAACTTTTCCTCTTGCAGGGAAGCATTCCGACGGCACAGCGTTTTTATCTGTTCAACTTTACCTTTAAAGTCTTTTGTGATTAGTGCTGTGGATGAAAAATCAGAGTAATAAATGTTATCTTAATCCTTTTTATTGTTACTTTAATATTAATTTCAATATGTTTATCTTGTAAAATTCTGGCTAGGACAAATGTAAGTAATTTCTTATCATCATTTCCACAAGTATACAAAGAGTGGACTTTTCCCAACCCCTCCTCTCCCTCTTCAGAGACTACAATGCGAAAAGCTAAAAGTGGTGACCTTTGACAGCATTTAGATCATCATTTTTAATATTTTTCAAAAGCGTCCATCAGGCATCACCTCTTCCCCGACCCTCCCCCAAGCGTACGGTTTGTAAAAAAATGATGATAAAAATAAATAACTCCGAGATCATTTGGTAAATGATTATCAGATTGTAATGAGTACTAAAGACAAAACGTTCCATCATGGTGTTATTTCTATATTGATATAAGAAGGTAAACTCACTCATGTTTTTCTCAGACTCCGTTACATGAATTGTCAACGACTCAATCCTATCCTCCAAGGCTTGCATAACTCGACCACTGCTGTTGGCTGCCTTCATGTTGACTTCCATAGTGAGCACGGTTTGACGAAGACAATCTTTCAGGGTGAGGAATGCTTCTTTTGAGAAACATATTTGTGGATCAGTTTGAAGGGCTATTTCACCTTTTTTCACCTTATGCCTTTTGAATAATCCTAATAATAAAGAATAACACAACCGTTCTCATACATTCTGACAAGTGGGAGTTATTTATATAAACCGTAGTAATTACATCGAATTTCAACATTAAAAATCACTGTCGAGTAAAAATTAAAATAACTCACCCATCATTGAAGTTTACCAAGCTGTTCATATCAATATATGCTAATGAACCTTTGGTTGACATGAAAATGACGTCATATCACTTATGACGTAACAGTGTTAACGTCGCCAAAAAGTCATTACGCTCTAAAGGTCGATCCAAATGCTTAGATCTACAACTAAATAGTCTATTCCACGCATCCACGGGCGTGACGGGAATGTGACGGGAGTAAGCCCCCCCCCCCCCCCCCCCCCCTTCATCCAACCAACCCTGTTCATTGTTCCTTTTACATTGTCGTTCGCTGGTTCATACCCCGCGTTTCTCTACAGCGAAACAGTTAACATGGTCTGCAACATTTCGGGGAGAGATAGGTGAAATATAGATTCTGCCAAGATGTCTGCAAAGTTTTAAGCCGCAAATCTGAAGAAGTTGATTAATTTTTAGCCCGTTAAAAAGTTTTTAATATGCTCTGCTTTAAAGTGGTTCCAAGAGTCACAAATATTTTTCCGGCATCTTCATAATTTTGTCTTGCGTGCTTCCCCCAAAAACCGTCCTTACCTAAAAAATCGATAATCGCATGGGATTTTTATACAGGCAATTGACCTACTTTGGTCCAGCCCAGTTATCGGCGCTATTTAACAATTTTATGACTTAGGCGTGAAAACGTGATTCATGTCTATGATATGAAAGTTATTTATATTGATTTGATTAATAAACAGTGTGTGTCGATCAAACCTTTCAAAGATTTTTAGCGCAGGGTGACATTGCTTTTTAAGGAAAATTGAATATGTGCTCACAACTCAAAAGTAAGGAAGCAAATGCATTTTTCTCTTATATGCAAATTAGATTGCACTGAGTTATAAACTGGACAGAAAGGATGTTCATCTCCAGAACGAGGTCGGTGCAACATAATCTAAATGACGCTGCAAACGAAGTTGTCAGCGGGAGGACTGTCAGACATTAGTATTTAGGAAGATTTCAAAGAAATACAAAAAAGTTTTTAAATCAATGGAAATATGAAAAAGTTATCATTAGTGGTGCATATATTTTCTCTTTTAGATTTAAGAGCACAAAACTAAAGATGATTTGATTTTGTGCTATTAAAATCTATTGAAAAAAATGCTAAATAAACCAAAGAAAATGTCTGATCAATTTTTTTTAATTACTTGTACATTCACAAATGTAGACAAATGAAATCCGGTGAAACATGCATGTGTTTGCACTGGCGATAACCCAGCCAACTGATGTCCAATTTCAAGGCTCATTTTTGGCATAATTCTCCCTCAAAACAAGCTCTCCAAGAATATTATTTCAAATAAAAGACTTAAAGTATGACATCATAGCCTTCATTATATTTGAGAAATACTGCTCATGAACTAAGAAAGTGTGCATAAAT